CTAGGGAGCATTGTCTCAACTACAGGAGGAACGGACGAGGATGTCAAATCGAGAATCGGGAAGGCGAGAAACACATTCATCAACCTGAAACCAATCTGGAAGTCTTCGCCACTCAACATCAACAACAAAATCCGGATTTTCAATACAAACGTCAAGTGAGTCAGTTCTTCTATACGGATCAGAAACTTGGCGGGTCACAAAGAATATTTCCAACAGGTTGCAGACCTTTATCAACAACTGTCTTCGTTCTATACTGAAGATCACTTGGCGGGAAAGAATCACCAACAAGAAACTATGGAAACAAACAAAACAAGAACCAATCACCCAACAAATATGCAGGAAAAGGTGGAGATGGATTGGACACTCACTGAGGAGGTCACTGGGTGGCATCGCGCGTCAGGCCAGTGCTCGAGTGGAACCGGAAAGGGAAGCGGAGAGTGGGACGTCCAAGGGTGACATGGAGGAGATCATGTGAAGGGGAGTTGAAACAGTATGGACTAACATGGATGCAGGTGAAAAGTACAGCAGAAGACAGAAGCAAGTGGAGACGTGCAGTTAAAGCCCTATGTTCCACTAGGAACCCAAGGGAATAATAATAATACAATAGAGACTCAACATTCGTTGATTTGAGACTATTATATCGACTCCGTGAGATTTAATTTAGGTCTCTGTCATGAGATGTAGTTTTGACGCTTTCTGGTGAGGATATTGCACAATATGCAATTATTATATTTTCAAAATATGCTGTATTTCAACAAAACAAGTGTTTCCAGAAAAGGCCTCTAGAAGTACTGTGTTTACATTTAAGAAGGTTTGAACATCATATTGTTACATTTTATATTCAGCAAATGTCTTCCTTGACAAAAATAAAGCTTCCAGCTAATACTTCAACGGATGTACTTACTGAATTTCTTGTATTTGTGAATTTTTCTGTCGACAAATCAAGATTAGAGGATGCATGAAACTACATGCCACTGATTCAGTGAGATGACTAGTTGTGTACTACTCACATCAAACAATAATGCTTGTTGGCCGGATTGAAGTGGTTTAAACACTTGACGCCTGTTTTGCTGGTTTTGAGCCAAGCTCATAATCGGTGTATATGGTACGACTCGGCTCAGGGAGTCGAATCAGCTCGAACCATCGGATTT